AACTGCTAGTAAGGACTCATTCAGTCAGGGAAGACAGGATCTAATGATTGCTCCTTGGGGTAAATACTGTACACTCATGCTAATTCCTGCTAATTCTCAAAGAAGAATAGAGTGGCTTCTTATCAGCAATTTGCATTTGTGTAATGGCCCTGGTCTGTTGTTGCTGTCTACTTCACTGATAAGGAAAACACCACTTAAAACAAGCAAGAAAGTAAACCATCTTTTCCAGCATTATTTTCTTTTCAGCCTGCCTTGAGCAAAAAAAAGCCTGGCATTCTACAGGAAATATTGTGTGATTGCGTGGGAAGATATTTAGTAACAAACAGAGAACACTTAATTACTGCTCAAGTTTTTTGTGTATTTATAAAAGTGTGCAATTAGTATGTGATTTCCAAAATGTATAGTTATGAACAGTTTATGCCGTGTCCCATATGCTATGGATGTCACCCTATTTTTTAATATTTTAGAGTTTTTAAACTGTTAGAATAACACAGTATTGTGAGTATACTTAATTTATGTAACTTGGAAGTTCAATTAGAAATTTTAAAGAATTGTGTGGATCTTGAAAGCTGAAAATAATCACACATTTAAGATGCTAGTTTGTTGTTTTTTTCCTTGAATTGTTCTTCAGTTTATTTTATAGGCAAATTTAGTGGTTATAAATTTTTGACAAGTGATTATGGTAAAGTTAAAATACAGTAGATTATTGATATTTACTTAATGCTTTGCTGTCATGCAGTGGTTACCCCTCCAAATTAGACTCTCTCTCTTCATATTTGGTAGAACAGTGATTTACTATGAAACAACATTTGAGGCTTGATTATATATAATTCCAAAGTCTGCACGGAAACATTTTTGCTTCTCTCTATTCCGTATTTATGCCATTAGTAATAGTAATGTATCATATGTTTGTATGCAGTGTTGCAACTGACAAAGCATTTTTTCACGCTTCCCAACAACCCTGCAATATCTCATTTTTACAGCTGAATTTACTGAGGCAAGTTCACTGGACAAGCATCACACAGCTAGTAATTGGCAATATTGAGCCTTGAACCTGATTCTTCGATTACTCCAGTGTTTATTTCACTACATTTTATCTCTAAAGGTCTCCTTTTAGGGAGAATTGTTCACTATCTTAAAATTTTTAACCCCAGTAACACTAGTTGTTATCATTATGTCTTGCACATAATGGAAGGAGGGAAGGAAGGCAGGAAAGGAGGATGGAGGGATGGAGAGAAAAATGGAGGGAGAGAAGGAAGGTAGCAGGGAGTCCTATTGTGTGGTGCAGGATTTGGGGAGTCCGTAAATGGTGATAATAGTCTCCAAATCCTCGGCTAAGTCAGAGAACTGTGCAGCGTCCCCGGGGATGGTCACTAATCCTGACCTACTTCACCGAGAGAGACCTGGTCAGGTCGAGAGTGAAACACTCCAAAGTACATTCTCTGGTAACAAGTTATGCTTTGTTTATACTTTCTTCCTTATAATATCGTAGTTGCTAACATCCCAAGCAAAGTGTGCTTGGGGCAAAGTGTTCGTAAAATGGTGACCATAAAAATAATTGAGTCATATTTTGCTGTGTTCCTAATAGCTGTTCATTTAGCACTTACTAGAAGATGACAAACTCCCAAATTATGACAAACTAGTCATAAAGCAGGGGGAGGCAGAGCATGGGAAGTGCTGAATGAGTGAGACGGACTTCTCTTACTTCCAGGAACAACTCTGAAGGTCATCTTTTATAAACTGAAACACATTCTGTCTGCAAAACCTTTAGCTTCACCTCTAAGAAGCTCCTCCCAGCTCCCCCAGAAAGAATGCTGTTTCCATAATTTGGTTTAAGAAACTGCTTTGTCTGTTTCATTAATTTCTGGCAGATTTACCAAATGGAAACAGAGCAATACAGCGTATGTAAGCCAAAGAGAACAAATATTGCTGCAAAATTTATAGATCTGCTTAGGACTGACTGTCCACTGCATTCAACTAAGAAGGATAAAAGGAAACCTGGCAAAAATCTGAAGGACGCATCTATCACATCTCCATCCCGGGTTCTGACAATTACAGCTTATTCCTGTGTTTGGCTGTTGTTTCAGAGCAGCTGTACCCAGTCAGGTCACACTCTGCATCACCTGGGAGTTAATTGCTGCTTTCCAATTCCGTGATCATTTTTGTTCCTGCTGCTGCTAAAGGAAAATAGTGCTAAGCACGATATTTCGTGACCATGGCAAATAGTTGCTACTTCATTTTCTCCCAGAATATTTTACTATCAAATATCACCTTACTAGTTTCAAGTAATGATCTAACAATTTTCCAAATGAGTGTGTCATAACTCAGAGCTGCAGGATAGCATTAGAAGGATAATCATTTCAGGGGAAAATATTTTTATAGGACTAAAAAAGAGGGATTATTTCTGGTTTTAACATATTAATCTCACTTATTTGATAACATAAGATCAGAAGGTTCACGGAATAGGTATGACGTGTCTGTCTCTTGCTTATATCACTGCTAATCTTTATTGTTAGTTTACAGTTTCTATGGGGTGTCTGCTTTTGGGGGAATGTTGGTTTTGTTGTTTTTAGTAAAAGCCTCAGGATTTGTTCTGAAAGAGCCTGGCACAGTGTGTGCTGCAGCTTTGGCTTGGGTGAGGGGTAATCCTTAGCAACCTGTCAGGGATTCAGAGACCACTGGGGTCTGCTTGAGGCTCAGAGTTCCTCCACAGGAATGACTGGTGACAGCACACAGCAGGTGGTCCATTCGGCACTGTCACCTGGGACGGCAAGGATACCCTGCCCAATTTGTCATCCCATAGAATCCTGTCAGCAGTCAAGAGTCTTAAGCACAAAACCTTTAACATTTAAAGCAAACTTGCTCCTAATATTTTTAAAAAGGAGTTGCCACGGATGAGAATGTTAATACACGGCATCCAAGTAAACAGTTTTTCACATGAAGATATAATGTTATGTTAAAATTTATGTTATTTGACATATAGAAATGTTGTCTGCTCTATAATTTTACAGACCAAATGATGCAAATCACATTCTCCTCTTCCTGATAAAAGCGGTAAATTATAGCTGATGATAGAGGGTAAAATCACCTCTCTCCTCCCTCTCCCTGGTTCCTTTTGTTTGGTTTGAGGACCTGTGAAGGATAGCTTGAAATGCATTTCAAAAAGGACTTTTTGTTAGAGTAATAAAAAAATTGCCCCAATTGTTAATTATCCACAGTAATGATTCAAGAATAGCATGCATCTTTGAAATCCCCAGATTTCCATTGTCAAGCTTTATCTGATTGGTAAATACCTTCCCCACTTGCCCAGTGGTAATACTGGTACTATTGCCCAATAGTAATACTGCTATTATTCATTGAGTGACAGTTTTATGCCAGTTCTTTTACCTAGATTATTTATAATTTCTGCAAAAATCCTTTAAGAGTGCTATTACCCCTATTTTCTAAATGGGAAAATTGAGCATCTGGGTGGTTAAGTGACTTGCTCAAGGATGCAATGCTGGTAGGAGACGGGATTTGAACCAGATCTGTCTCCAAAGTGCAAGTCATTTTGACTTTTGGCCTTGGCTGTTACTCCTAAAAGCCATGCAGGGAGCAGTGAAATGGTCCAAAAACATGCCTTGGACAGGAGAATAAGAGGCAAGAAAGGTCTTGAGTGATTCGGAAATTGAATAATCAGATGTTGAGTATTTCGGTCAGTTAGAGTAATATTCAAGCAGAGTTGGAGGAAAAATTGGATTAAAAGTCAAAACAAAAGGTGGACTTGTGCAGGAAATGAAAAAGAAAGAAGGAAACGGAAAAATAATACATGGCAGGTCAGACAAAAGTAAACAAAGGCATCTGAATTTCACATACAAGTAATAAAATAGAAATTGATAAGGAAGACAAGGAATTAAAAATCACTAGGAATCAGCAGACAAGAAAAAAATTTTGTCTAAAGATTGATTTTTTTTTCTCCAAGCGTAAATAGAATATTTCTTGGCTTGACATATTGGTTTTGCGTTTCATCCTGATAGTATCAGTGATAAACATTATGTAAATTAGACTTTTTGGTTGAGACTGAGCATTGCCCGTGGTATTCCCAGTGATGTAAGTGGGGAGAAGTTCTGATACTCATTGCCCTTAGAGTCTCAGGACTAAGAGCTTTGGCATCATTTTAAACCGTGCACCTAATGGTGGAGGCATCATTTAAAGCTTGACTTTCAGATAACTGTGAAGTTTCACAAGAGAATATCAAGCTTATCACATGAAGATGTTGCATACCAAAATTAACACTTCTGTCTGCTCCTAATTCAAAATGGATGAATTTTGTAGTGCTTTATTCTACATTTGCAGCAATATTAGACTGTCTTTCCATTTCTTCAAAAGTATAATGGCAATCAGACATTCAACAATGTTCTTCTGAGTAGAAATTAGAGTAGAATGGCAGTTTTGAAGAGTGGCCCCTGATGTGTATGATAATATGTATTCAATTAAAATATATGATTTTTTTCATTAGGAATAAATAAGCCACCTTGTATTTTTCTTTGTTCAACATTATATCTAAAAAATATAAAGTCAACATACATATAAAACATAATTTCCAAAATATATAATTAGTTGCCATTAAAAAAATTGATATTGAAATTGAGTTGCACTGACATGACTTTATATCATTGTCTTTGAGCCTTCCTGGAAAATGTATTTTACTTAATGACAATAGATCTTCTGTTTTCCAGCTTCCTTAGAGGATAAAATATTGGTTATAAAAATGTTGAGCCCCTTTTCCTATTTAATTAGAATGAAATTAATTACCTCTAATTACCCTTTTATAATTTTATCCTATTTAATTACACCCAGAAAATACTTGACTTCTTTGCTGTTGTTTATTAAGCCTGAAAGGTTAGTGGAGTCGCCGTACCTTATATGAACTCTGCCTTTTAAGAGAATTTAAGATGAAAGTCTGCTTAGAAGGGGGAGAGGTGGATGTAAACTTTTCCCCTTGTTTATCTTCTGTCCAGCTACGTCTACATCTACAACCGGGACAAGCCATCTTGTAAAGTGTGCAGAGAAGGAGAAAACTTTCTGTGTGAATGGAGGCGAGTGCTTCATGGTGAAAGACCTTTCAAACCCCTCAAGATACTTGTGCAAGTAAGAAAAGAAATCCTCTATGTGGCTTATGTCCATAACTGCTTCTTTCAAATGATTTCGTGTCTCATGATGTATTGTTGTTTCTTTTTCCAATTTTGTTGCATCCTGTTGAATAACGCTATTTTATTTGTAGAATGTTATGAAAAGTTCACACCATTTGTCATCTTCTCAGTTATATTTGGAATTGTTTTTTGCTTTTTTCAATGGTTTTTTTTTTTGCCTTCATATTTATAAGGTTGCTTTCCGTGTGGTTTCTCATTGTTCCTAGAGATGTGCAAATATCATAGAGGCCTATAACTTTGATACCTACTTCTCCATCCAATGTATGAATTAAGCTGTAAGATAATGTTGTTTTTTACCCCAATGATCACAAGCAAAATGACTAGGACACTAAAAGAAGGAAAGGGCAGAAGATTCTTTACTGACATGTCTGTTACACCTGGCATTAGCTTATTGTTTCCTAACTATTTTAAAAAATGGAATTTAGGTTGATCTCACTGATGAAAAAAAAAGCAAATTGCACGTGTTTGGAAATGCATTTAGTGTGTGTAGCATCACTGTGTGTAGAAGGCAGTGTGTTCTTTCATACATTGCAATTGTGTATTGATACACTTAGAATGGTGATCTCTCCAATGACCTGAAGGAGTTGATGCACCATTAAGAAGTATCACAGTTATTCTCTCTCAATAGGCAGAATAAAACAATGATATTATCCATACATTAAATGTTTAAACCTTATAGTTAAAATTAGTGGGTCTCATTAAAAAGCACGTGTTTTTTGTGCCATGCATTTTAAGTCTACTCTTGATATATAGGCTATGTGTGGTACATAGACTCATAAAATTTGATGTGGTAAGAGATGTTCAATGTTTCCTTGAAATGATGAAAAGTACACATTTATTTTGCAGTTGACCACTGGGTGTGTCCCTTTGTTCTAAAGTAGCAGTGCTTGTCCTAGATGAGAAAAAACCATACCATCATAAAAATCGTCTTCTGCTCCAGATTACTAGCTTATGGCTTAAATGTTGACAAGGAAGAGCAAGTTTGTCAAAGAGACAGTTGAGCTCACAGAAAGAACAATTAATAAAGTGAAAATAAGACACAAGTGGTTAACAAGGTCATTTCCCTTTACATCGTATAAATAGTATAGAAACATTTATGTGCCAGTTCTAAGAAAACCTTAATTGTTTATAAGTACAAGTGCATCTTAAAAGATACATATGTTAAAATCATAATACCAAACAAAAATGTCGTTTTGTAAGAAATGTTTTACTGCTCCTGTGCTGTTCTGGACAGGGGCTGTCTGTAGAGTGTCTCGTGGGACCTTGAGGCTGTGGACAAGTACCTCCCAGAACTGCTTTCTTGCCCTCAAAAGCTCTTCTTTTGAAAGAGTGGTTGCAGTTCCAAGAGAAGACAAGTTTTGGTGGTTGTATAACTGATTTTATCAATGAAGTCAGACAACTTATAAACGTAAACATAGTCTGTGAGAGTGAATAAAAGACTAGGAATCACAAAAGTAGAATTCCAATCTCTATTACTAAACATCTCTTTCATAGAGATAGGTAATAGTTATAAGCCAAGATAAAATTAATTGGTAAAAGTCTTTTCAAAATTTTACAGCAAGATGAACATGAAAAAGTATGTAAAAGAAAATTATTTATTTCAGGTCTGAATTATTTCATTCGACTCTCAATGCTTGTTATCTTAAAATTAATCTTAGAGATTCACTTTTTGATCACCAATATATTCAAATCCATATACCTTGCTATAGCATAGAATTAAAATTGGTCAGTTTTAGTCTTTGGTTCTGCTGACTTGCTATGAATACAGCGCAAACTTGGCACTCCCATATTTATCATAGTGAATTGGGATGAACAAATTTTATAGTTTTCTTTAAGATTTTCTCTGATCAAAATAGAAAATGCCAAAAGGTGAGAGTTATAATCTCTAAAGTATAAGGCTCATTTATTGTATGGGGAAATCTTGTAATTCTGTCCTAATCTTAGGCATACAAGCTCATTATGTTTTAATAAATCTCCTTGAAAAACCATTTAAATTATAGTCCCTTAAATTCTTCTCCTTTTTAAACAGTTGTACCCATGTTATCTATGTTTCATATTTTTACTTCTTTACAAAAGCATCTGAGACCACTATATTTTAATTATAATAATGAAACACGATCATTTTTCATCATAACCTTTGCAAAGATTTATAAGCTGAGTGAGTACATATGATAGTTTCTGAGTTCCTCTAAGGAACCAGTGCACTTATTTTCCACATATTAATTTCAGCTATTCTGTAGCCCTCCCACATCCTATACAAAACATGCAATTGCATTAAGTGCTATTCATTTGTTCCATTTTGATATTGTGCCAACAACTGTAATTTTTTTCACCGACAGTTTTTCATTAAATTTTAAGCCCAATCCAGAAAAAAATACTTGCTATATAGTTTTTAATCTTGAAGTGAAATGTTTGCTATTGGTCTAATAATTATTAAAGCAGCAAACCATAAATGAACACTCTGTATCCCCTAAGCTAATTGTCTAGTGGGTTATACTTGTCTTCTAGTTCTCAGCAAATTGGCATCATAATTTTATTTTAGTTTTTGGTAATTAGAATCTTTCAGAAAAGTGTTAAAGCTTATTACTGGATCTTGTTAGAAAGAAAATCTTCAACATCTGTGATTTCGATAACTTTTTCCCCCTTTTTGGGCCGTGTCTTTATTGATGCATCAGAGCAAGCCAGTACCTTGAGGGAAGAATTGGAGTATATTTAATACCCAAAGTATTTCAGGCCTTTTTTGTTAAATGAAAGTGTGTTTTTTTAAAAAAAGAAATCTCTGTATTAAAAACATCTATAACATTAAAAATAATCACCACTCAGAATTGAAACAAAGGCACATAATATTACCATGTCTTACAGTAATATATTGTTCACTAGACCACTTGAATAGAAACAGAAAACATAAAAATGTTGCATTGGCTCATCATGGGCCTGTGTATGAAGCCAGTTCATAGTTTCCATATGGTCCATCTGTCTAGAGCAAAACATTGCTGAAGCATGAGCCGCATCATTCAAAATCAGGTTTATCCCTGACTTAAAGACATGACTCAGAAACACCACAACCATGGAAGTTTCCAAGTAGCCTCTCTGGTCACCTAATCCACTGTTGTCTTCTTGGGAGTTGAAGATGACGACTTGACAGCAAATCTCTTTCGTCTCTCTGTTTAGAGCAAGGTGTTCCAAATGGATTAACTATATAACAGTTAAACACTTCTCCGAGGAGAGGTTTGCTGGTTACTTGGACTTCCCCTGGGGACTGTGTGGGAATTTCAGCGGTGGTTCTCATCTTTTATATTTATCTTCTCTCTATAGTAATTTAAATTTTATCCTGGGGAAAAAAATAGCTACTATTCCAGATTACATGAAGATGAGAAAAGTGTCATTCCATCTTTTACCCTCTGATGCTCTATATAGTCATGTAGTTCAAAGAAATAAGACAATTTGAACATGACATTGTCCAAAGTTTTCCCTTTGCTTTTTTCCCTTTGTTCTTGTATATCTGTTCTTCTGAACAGTTTTAGTAGACAACTATTTTGGAAGATGTTGATATGATTTTTTTTTTAATCTAAAAATGATTTTATCCTGGACTGTATTTGTAAACCCATTATGTTGTCCCATGGACAGATGTGGCTTCCCCATGAGGGGATTAGCGTTTTAACCACCAATTTTAGTGAACAGTCTTGAGCCCTTTCACTTCAACTCTCTGAACAATATCTCTATTTATAACATAGAGTTAATATGTTCTCCAAATTTCTTCCCAGGGAGTCAGTGAAATTAAATGAATTCATTTCTGCTAAAGTACTTCTAACTCTGGGGAAGCAAGGTTTTTTTTCCCTTATAATAAAAAGTAAATGATAGTATTACATTCTCTCTGTAGAAATTGGAAAAATATATACACCTGTCTTAACAGACTGTGTTATCATGTTTAATCCCCAGTTCTTCATTTTATTTAACACTAGCAGTTTTTATTTGGTTTGGTGGGGCCACCAGCTACCTTTATAACTTTTATCTGACAGATCATGTAATATCTCTGATCATTATCTTCTTTATATGCAAAAACAAAAAACAAAACTTGGGAAGATGGGAGGTACCTTCAAATATGAACTTATTATTTTATATAATTAATTTTTGTGAAATCATGTAGTATATATAAGGGGCTATATTGTATTTGCTTTATTATAGGAGATAGTTATGGGAAATATATAACTGTAGGAGATAAAGTCACAACAAATATGTTACAATGAATTAAACTCAATAAATGAAATATTAATTAACATTTGTTTGTAGAACAGCCACGTCTATGCCAGGAATTTTTGAAAACACAGAGAAAGTATAAGGCATGGTCTCTGGTCCTTGGGCGCTTAGTCTGTTTAGGAAAATGAAGTGGCTAAAATAGTAAATCAATTAGAGTGAATATATCCCAAGTGGTATGATGCTGATTATTATGGTAATGAGAATTTAAAGAAGGAAAAGAAAAGATTAGAATAAGTTGGAGAAGACTTTATAAATATAGCCATCATTTATGGAGTCTTCTATATACCAGGAAAGCATTGAGGTTGCAGTAATCGCTTCTGTGAGACAGTGACATGCATACCTAGACCAGCAGCTCCATTCTGGGAAGTAAAACAAACCAAAAAATGAGTTAGACATTAAAAGCCAGTTTATGAGTTCTGAAGGCCAGGAAGAGGACTTTGGACATGTGATAGCTCATAGAGAGTCATAGTAACTTCTGGAGCAGGAGAGTGACACCATAAATATAGCAGATGTTTAGGGAAGAGAAGCTCCCATACAGGTTAGAGAAATTTGGGGACTAGGTAAGATGGACAGAGAAAGTCAAAGACATTAGCTAAGGTAGAAGTTTTATAAAATCCTGGCATAATAATAATGATGATGATGATAATATGTATAATACTTATTAGTAGCTGGATTAATATA